GCACTGGCAGAAGCACCAACCCTAGGACGCAAAACCAGCTTCTTGGATTCACGGTTGACAGGACCACGGGCCCCAGCTTTTTCCATGATGACCAATGATTCACCAACCTCAATGCCAGCAAAGCCGCCTGTCAGCACGGCAGGAGGCTTCGCTTTTAAGAGCCAAGGCCGCACCTTCTTGGTGGGGTAGGCAACCACGCTAAGCTCAGTCCAGCCGGCATCCTTCAGGACTTGAAACAAATCAGACTCAGACCAAGCAAACGGCACAGCCTTAGCACGCCAAACGGAGACAGATTGTTCAGTAGGAGCGACCGAAGAACGCAACCCCAAGCAATTGGCCCCACCAGCTCGCCAAGCGACACCAGCCTTAAGAGTTATAGCTTTGGTCAAGGCCAAGTTCAAATACTCAAGCGCTTCAAGCTCGCCGTGGTCAAGCCAAGAGACAAACTTGCTACCATCCCTTTCTTTTGCAAGCCGGTCCAGGAAAACCCCAGAGCGACCACTATGACACCACAACGCCTCAAGTTTGTCAGAGGAAACTTTGGCGTAACCAAGCAAAAATTCTTCACGCGCACCTTTCCAATTCACTTGCGAAGTCACGGACCAACCGTACGACGTGTGAATGGCGCAGTTCTTATCCATCCCGACCCACTGAATCATGGACGTAGCTTTGGTTTTCCAGAGCTGCCACTGCTCATTGCTAAGAAAGGCCCGTGGCACAACAAACCTCAAAGTAAACAACTCTTTCGCAACCGGAGCAGAAGCAACATGTTTGACCAACCCAGTGGGAAGAACAGGAGCTTCACGACCGAGAAGGACACAAGCTAACTTATGAAACTTAGTTGACTGGATGCCCGTGCCAGCGGAAGTGACGACCGGCAAAGTGACAACACTAACACCAGCAGGCAAAGATGACAAGTTAGCCCCAGCCACCAAGCAAGCAAACTTAACGGTGTCAAGCTTGTGGCCCTCAGCCAGCAACTTAAGCTCCAACGCCTTATCAACGGACGGAGCGAGAGCAACTGAGCCAACAGGAGCTTCACCGTTTTCCAGTTTTTTCCTGACTTCTCCAAAATCACGCACCTCACCCGCCTTCCAACATTGTCGGGCCAAAGAGACGGACGAGGAAACTCGTTTTGTAGCAGTAGGATTAGCGGCCGACGTCTTTTTGACAACATCGACCCATTTATCCGACTGCTGCGCGACATCAGGAGATTTTCGTCGGTCAACATTCAAACCTTTAGCTTTACTCAAAAAGCTCTCCAGCTTGGAGATCAACGTGGAAGGTTCTTTGCGAATGTCTTCGACGACTTTACTCAACTGATCAACCAACGCCCCTCCGCTTCCAGTGGAAGTTTCAGAGGTGACCGGACGTTTCTTCTTCTTTTTCTTTTTCTTGGGTTTATTGGTAGGCGAAGTCCCAATAAGAGAGCCAAGCACAGTACACAACCTAGTCAGCATTTCCTGTTGAGCAGCTTGTTCTTTCCTTTTTCGCTTAGTGGCCGATGACCCTCCGGCTGATCCACCACCACGGAGCTGGGTGTTCAAAGCTCCAGGGTGATTTTGCGCAGGCTCACGACGCAACAAGCAAATCAACCAAACTCCAAGCTTACAACAACAAGCCCAAAACCTGACCAAAGTACGGCTCAACAGAAGACATGAAGAGCGCGACCGGCAGCAACCAGGGTGCCACCGCCGCACAAGACGATATCTTCGCCCAGCTATTGTCCGACAAGCCAAAGGTTTGCGAATTCGATGCGCCCAAAACAAAGCTCGGCACACCTCACAGAGAGATGCCAACTTTCTGCCTAAGCCACGTGTTAACCCCAAACCAAAACTGGAAAAAAAACAAAATGAGCTCTCTTCGGGCCACCTTTGGGCTATTCGTTCCCCTAGTGGGGGCCGCATGCTCCACACAGAGGATGCCCCGAAGCATGCTGACAACCTGGGTGTGTGGACTTTGTGAAGTGAACGGCCCCCAAGTAGACCGCGCACTGGTGAAGGGCAGCCGCCGCAGCAGATGCCAACACGACTACACCAAGGAAACAAACGGCCGAAGGCCGCCTAAGAGACAACACAACCCCAACAAAAAGGGGGAAAAAACAACCAAACCAAACCAACCCACCAGCCAACCCCACACAGGCACAGACCAGAAGCCCACGCCCACAGGAGCTGATCGCAGGCAGGAGCGGACAAGAACACCGCACCCACCAGCACAAGGCAGAAAGGCACCAATGGCAAGTCGGATGCTGGGCGAACAAGCAAGCAAACAAAAGTCAATCATGGACATGCGACCAGATAACCTTCTGAACACGCACAAGCCAAGCTTGGACAGCAACATTATCAACAGCCCGGTTGGTGATAGCCCATCCGAAACGAGAAGACAAAAACTCTCCAGGTTTAGGAGGAATCACCAAATCGATCGGCCTGCAAGGACAACTCCAAGCAATATGGTCAAATGTCCCAAGCTGAGAACAACCGGGCCAAACACATGTCAAGGGAACACCAGCAAGACGGCCACCGAGTGCCGCAGGCGAATTGCAACCGCCAGTGCAAATCGTCCGGGCTTCGGGGCAAGAAGCGGCGAACTTCCGAGTGGCTTCCCAATCAATGCTGCGAAAATAACCCGTGTCACCAAAGCAATCAAGGGCCGCATCCCGCCTCGACGAGGCATTGTGACGCTGCAAGCACCAAGCACGCCAAGCATCCCGGACAATGTGTTGACTGGCACCAGCATCGCCAGCAACAGACAAGTCCAAGAAGTGACAAGTCCAAGAAGTGACAACCTGGGTGTAAAAAAAAAATGATGTGAACTGCCCCCAAGTAGACAGCGCACAGGCGAAGGGCAGCCGCGGCAGCGGCAGCAGCAGCAGCAGCAGCCCACGCAAACACACCAAGGAAACAAAAGGCCCAACAGACGCCCAAAACCTCAACCAACCCCAAACAAAGGAAAAACCGAACAAAAAGCACCGGCCAGCCCGAAAGAGGCGCAGATGCAGCAACCGCACCCCCAAAGGGCCAGGCAAAATGAAGCTCGAACGAAGGCACCGCGCTCCACAATGCCAGGAGGACAGGCAAGCCGGACAAGCTGGGCATAAACAACCAACAATCAATTGGAATGCACATGCGACCAAACCGTCATTTGCACATGCACAAGCCCAGTCACCATGTCAACCCGAGAGTTAGACACAACCCACCCAGAACGAGACGATAAGAACTCGCCAGGCTTGGGCGGTATTTCAACTGGGGCGACACAGGCAAGACCAAGCGATGTGATCAAACTCATAACCAGGCCAAATGCAAGTCTCAGCCACACCGTCAACACGACCCCCATGCAAGCGCGTGCGTGAGCGAGTGAGCGAGCGAGCGAGTAAGTGAGTGTGCATGAATGATGAGCGAGTGCGCGAGTCAGCGAGTCAGCGAGTGAGCGGGTGAACGAGTGAGCGAGTGAGCGATTGAGCGAGCGAGCGAGCGAGTGAGCGAGCGAGCGAGCGAGCGAGTGAGCGACTGTGAGCGAGTGAGCGAGTGCTGAGACACTGTGAGATAGTGAGACAGTGAGACCGTGAGATCGACAGTGAGGCAATGTGAAGAGTGAGATAGTGAGCGAGGGGGCGAGGGAGCGAGTGACGGCGAGCGACAGCGAGGGAGAGCGAGGGAGCGCGAGTGAGCGCGAGGGAGCCCGAGTGAGCGTGAGCGCGAGCATGAGCGTGAGCGAGCGCAAGCGTGAGAGTGAGCGTGAGAGTGAGCGTGAGTTAGCGTGTGAGAGCGCGTGAGAGCGTGTGAGAGCGTGTGAGAGCGTGTGAGAGTGTGTGAGAGCGTGTGAGAGCGTGTGAGAGCGTAGTGTGAGAGCGTGTATATAAGAGCGTGTGAGAGTGGAGTGGAGTGGAATGGAGTGGAGTGGAGTGGAATGGAGTGGAGTGGAGTGGGAGTGGGAGTGGGAGTGGGAGTGTGGAGTGTAGAGTGTGAGTGGAGTAGAGTGGAGTAGAGTGGAGTGGAGTGGAGTGGAGTGGAGTAGAGTGGAGTAGAGTGGAGTGGAGTGGAGTGGAGTGGGGTGGAGCGGAGCGGAGCGGAGTGGAGTGGAGTGGAGTGGAGTGAGTGAGTGAGTGATCATGAGTGGTCATGATTGGTGATGAGCGTTGGTGAATTCTGCAGCACGTAAAAACTTCCAGGGCAAAAAGCCCGCAGCGGTTGCCATCCTTTTTTCCTACCCCTATGACCACTGCGAGCCGAAGTTCGCACCTGCAAGCCGATTTCACTCTTGTCTTTCCGGCTGTTCTGTTGTTGGTTTGTGTTGGGGCGCAAGCTGATGTTACCTCTCCTACATGGTCATCATCAGATCGGTTTCTTGGTGCGCTTGATCCCTGTGCCTTGATCATGCTCACCTTGACTCAAAGTGGCTCTCAGGTTCATTGCAAAAAACGCGTTGTTAGTGGGCGCGCTTCCGAGGGCCCACTTTGCCTTGCTATGTGTTCTCTTTCAACTGATCCCGTCGCAAGCCACAGAATATGCAAGTTTAAGGAAAAGTTTAAGTGCAAAGCTCAAATGAACTTTGCATCTCACCCTCACAGCCAGGAGGAATAGCACAAGGTTGCAAACGTGAAGGCCCACGCAGCGTCGCTAGATTGGTGTTCCTCCACAAATATAGAAAACCGCACAGAACCACCAAACTTACCCCCATGCACTGGTTGAAGGTCATTCTTGCATGGAACCGCGTCCACCAACCTGTCCAAAAAGTCGCCCCAACTTCTTCGTCGATTGTAAACACAGCATGAGAGGATTACAAACACCATTCTTGATTTCCACTAACCTCCCAAGAGCCAGCGATCCAGCATCACGAAAGAAAGGGCAAAGCAACAATAAAACCCTGCAAACACACGCCAACTGAAGCAAAAACTGCATGTTAGCCAAAAGATTACCTCCCCCATCATCACATAGTGAACGCAAAGTGTTGCCATTTTCTCTCCACACTTCCCCCCAACACAAGATGTTGGGCCAAGCAACGTTGAGGACCTGAGATACGAGCTCCGAGATGATGGATACATTACTCATTATGACATCCAGTAGCACTGGGACATCTTCAGTCGCTTCGTCTGAAATGTTGCAGGAAAAATGAGAAATACCTTCTTTGTACCCTTCCCATGATGAAACAAGATCGGAAATGTGGCCTCGGGATTTATGCCTCAAAAGTCTCAAATTAATGTGGCAGTGCAGAAATCATTATTTGACTGGGGTTCAACCCGCAAGAACAAAAATTCAACAATAAAATGTTCGTGCCCAATCAACCGAAACGGGGTGCGTATGCCCCAAATAGGCTCTTGAAATTTCCTGGCGCACACACACACGCACAGTCCTTTGTGTACTCGTGTGCGGTTCAAATACCTTCGGGACTATGGCCAAGGCGCCGCAAAATAGGTGAAGGCGATGAAAAATAAGTAGACAAAGACCTCAATGCATCATGAGTCAAAAACCCGTAAAAACCCATGATCACACCAGAGTACTAAGCATCATTGGGTGAAGCTTTGATTGTGTGGATACGAAGTTGTCCATTACTCAAACCACCTGTTGACATAAGATGTATAGCTTCACTTTTTGCTGTCCAGTTGCTTGTAGGGTTGTCCACTTTGGCCCCGGCATTGCCAGGATGACACGCAGTGAAGCTGCTCGGATCTACCATTATGGCTCAAGTCAAAACAGGTTGCAGCTGAGCGCGCTGCAATCATACCAACCTCATAATTCATAACCCAAGGTTATGAGCCCAAGCCTCGTTGCTACTGTGTGAGCCATGTCGATGTTGCAGCGCCGACGAGCTGGGCAGCAGGAGACGGCCGATGAGACTTTGGATCGGAGGATAGCTGAAGTTCAACGTGAAGGGGATTGAAGAGCAGGAGCGCAGTATGTTCTTCCTCTACAAGAGCTCGCTCAGTGCCTCGACAGTTGGAAGCTGGAATTCGTAGACTGGAGCTCGGGCCGCCTGCTGAACCTGAACGACGCGATAAATTAAACATGTGAAGCAAGGGCTCAAGGAACTCAAGCTGGTCGACCTGTTCTTCAAGGTGATGGAGGACAGATGGGTCAACAGTCCGATGTGAGGCAGCAGATGACGATGCGGGATGTGACAGCCATGAGGCCTGCTGCTGATCAGTTTCTGTGGGGTGCCGTGCAAGATGCTGCCGGCGCTGTGGGAGCGGTTGGCACACAGCTTCAAGCGCTTGGTGGAGCGACACTTCAACCTGGAGACCGAGACCACTGTCAACTACCTCAAGGGGATCCTGTCGTACCACGTCCTGTACATGGTCTACCTGCTGAACCTTGCAGAGGCAACGATCCGGGAGGTGCTGAACGGGATGGAAGACGTCCTATAGTAGAGGGCAGACCGGTGGTTTGTTAAAACCGCTTCTGGAGCCGTCGATGATGCTGGCACCGAGGGCCTTGGAGGAGACCTACCAGCAGATGGGGAATGAGATGACCTCGCCACCGGTGAATGCTTTCTGGAGTCAAACCGTTCAACGTGAAGCGCGTGGAGAAGTGGCGGTAAGCCAATTATTAGGGCCAAGAAGTCCGAGCCAACCAGTGGCAACTCCGGTCCGTGAAGTTCAAGCTCAAGAGATGCGGTGAGCCAGGTTCCCGCTCACGCAATAAACCAGGTTCCCGTGGCAGCTGCTGGGGTTGGTGGGATTCCTACGGGCCTCTGCCGGCCTTGCAGTGATTCCCCAGAAATGGCTGACCCAACTGCATCGGCAGTGGGGGGAAATTTGAAAACTTAAACGTGTCATGAGAGAAGCGGGGGAAGCATTTGCCAGGGATCAAAGGCTTCAAGGGGCTTCGGAAGAGGCACAACCAACAGTTAAGGGTGAACGGTGCACGTTTGCACATGAATGGGGATCCTTGGGGAAACATTCCAGGTGTTTTGCCTGCTCATCCCCACCGGAAGGTCCAACTCTGAAGAGCCAGTCAGAAGGCTCGAATGGAGAGAAAGATAAGAAGATCTCAAGCTGAAGGATTCCCCAAAAGGAAAGAGCTCAGCTGAAAAGAAAGGGTCTTCGCCGGCTCAGGAAAGTGCCAAGAAACCTGAAGCGGAAGCCGCAAAAGGCAGCTGTAGGGGAAGCTCAGGAGGAGCAGAATCAACAGAAACCAACTGGAGAGCCGAATCCGTCTGGTTCAGGATTTGACCGGACTAGTGAAATCCCAAACAACGATGAAACCCCTGTATGTGAAATCGGTTAAGGCCGATGGGGAAAGCGGGATTGAATTAGCCTTGCTCGACGGCGGTGCGACTCACGCACTGAGGCACAATTGACACGTCAGCCAATTCTAAGGAGGACCCGCACAGTCCAACTGTGTGGTCAGAACAGTGAGCCGAATGCGGCACCAGCACCCAGGACCCAAGCCGCTCCGAGGCAGAGGCAGCTTGAGGTTCCGCTTGGAAGATGTAGGAGAAAGATATCTTCTGCGAGTGAATGGCGACACAGCACTGTATCTGAAGGCTTTGGGCCTGTATGACAAATGGCCGAGTGCCAAAATGGCCGAGTCGAGAGGAACGGGGGAGTGCACCGGCACAAGCCGTAGAAGTGCCTCGAGAAGGTAATCCTCCAGCAGATGCTGTGGAAGGTCTACCGGAAAGTAGTCCTCCAGCGGATGCTGAGGCTGGGCTACTGGAAGGGGGTTGAGAGAAAAAGATCCAAGATAACATAGCTGAGGGCTGAGTAAAGGACTCTGTTCAATCGCCTTTGTAAAAAGAAGGGCAGACCGCGTTACAACCTCTTGGAAAGGTGGTGACGTGCACAGTGAGCAACCGAGCGACATCGAGTACGCCGAGCCTTGGGTTCCCAGAAGTTGCACCCGATGATGAAAAAGATCCAAGCAGTGCCACAGTGGGTACACCAGCAGTTGAACCAGCGAGCACATCAGTGGCTGAACCGAAGAGTTGCCATGGGAGCCCGCCGGCCGCTGAACCAAAAAGTGCAGATGCACCAGTGAATCTATCAGAAGGAGCAACTGCAGCATCGCTGTCACTATGCCTCCAGAGCCTGAGAATCCTCCAGCAGAAGATGCTGAGGTGATCGCTGGGCTACAAGCCTTGCGTGAAGAGTATGCTCAAAACGCCGTCGGCTACACGTGGTCTGTGCGGTCTGCAGGGTACACTTCTGATGTGGGAGTGACTCTGATGAGTGAGATGTCCAAAGCTGAATATGACCTGTTGGTGGCCAGGTACCAGAGGGGAGAGGAAGAATCAGGTGGTGAAGGGCAGGAACCTTAAGGGGAAATTGGACCATCCGAACCTTCTGGACCAAGCAGATCAACAGGGGTAGCGGCAGCTCACAATATCTGATGGGATGATCCAGCCGACACAGTGGCGCAGATGCGAGAACGACAGCGGGCTCGCATGCATGCTATTGTGGCTGGAGGTGCGACTGATGATGACGAGTGCCAAAAAAGTGGTCGAGGGTCCAGCAGATGAACCTCGTGACCTACCCGAGCCGTGACCCGCCTGATGATGGACCAGATGGTGGAGCGTCAGGAGCTGTACCCGCAGTAAAGGCTTTGCAAGCTTCCATGGCTCCGCGAGCTTCTATGGCAACTCGGCAATCCGAAGAAGCTCCACGTGGTGGCTCTCAACCATGGACAGCGGCAGAGTACCAGGTCCCACCGTCCCATGGTAAGGACCGTTTGGTACTCAACCAGCTCACTGACGGTTGGTTGATCCGCAGCCACAGGCAACAGCGGAAGCGTCTGTTTCATCCTTTGCACAAGGGTGCACCAGTCCAGGGTGAGAATCTGAAATCGGACCGCGTTGTGTTAGAGGATCGTTGGACGGCTGCTGTAAAAGATCCCCAGAAAGACCCAGAAAGACCAGTGGAATGGTTGGACGTTCTTCCGGGTTAAATCCTTCAATGTGCCTGGAGCTACCGGAGATGACCAGAGTTCGAGGTGATCCTTCTGGATTCTGAACAAGTTCGAGGCGATCTTTCCGAACAAGTTATGAAAGGGGGACTGCAGCCCGGTGACTCTGGTATGGCCGTGGTACGGCAAGCGACCATGCCCGCACAGTGGCTGATGACTTGGAACGTTGGGGGGTCGTTGGTGGTGAAGATGCCGATGATGATGCTTGGAGCCACGTAACCGGCGTCTGAGGAGCTGCTGCCGGAAAAATAGTTTTGAGATTTTCTTCATAGGTGGCTGGTCAAGAATGACCAGGAGGGAGTGTGGATACGAAGTTGTCCATTACTCAAACCACCTGTTGACATAAGATTTATAGCTTCACTTTTTTGCTGTCCAGTTGCTTGTAGGGTTGTCCACTTTGGCCCCGGCATTGCCAGGATGACACGCAGTGAAGCTGCTCGGATCTACCATTATGGCTCAAGTCAAAATAGGTTGCAGCTGAGCGCGCTGCAATCATACCAACCTCATAACCCAAGGTTAAATATGTTTGGTACGGGGTACTAGAAGCTCTAAGTACCCACAAACTGATAGTAGCAAATGGTCTGTATTACTACTTGCATCTAATTACCCCATTCCCGTTTCCACACATCGCAGATGGCTTGACTGTGGGGAGGCCAAGTGGCGGCTTGGTCTCAGGATGGGGATATGAAGTGGATCTCAAAGCAGGAAAAATGGGAGCATCTTGTCCCAAAAAACTTGAATTGACCGTTGAATTTTCGGATATAGCTACCAACAAACGAGAATACCACCAACTTTTTGTGATTGAAGCATATGGAACCAAGACTATCACAAGCAAGAATGGACCTGACAAACTGGGGATTCCACTACCCGCCACAGCAACCACTGCCAGGTCACCCAAGCCAAAGAAATCGTCTTCAAGGGCCCCAAAACATTTTCCCAGTTGACGCCGGCCGAAATGCTCATGAATAAGGTCCTCAGTTGAGGGTAAGGTCCTGAAAATATGGAGTAAAAGTATGCACCACATTCGTATGGTAAAATGATCAGCGCGCATCTCCTATCTAGGTTAGAGATTTGGAAATCCATGTTATCACACCAAACTTGAGTCGGACACTTTGGATGTCCATTCTATCAAGATTCTAACTATGTTTGGAACACGGCGGGGAAGCTTGCTGACCCGAATTCCAATCATACAACTTGAAAACAACTAGTTTCATGTGGTAAACCCAAATGAGACCATTTGTATTAACCGATTTGGAAAAATGAAAAGCTACTCCGCAAATGGTGGCAGGTTTCAGCATCGTGTTTTGCACTGATCCAAAATACTTTACTGCAGCCGCTTCATCATCAATTCCCAGTGGGTTGCTTTCCCCTGGATCAACCATATGATCATTCACCACCTGTGCCAGGAGCACGGCAAAGGCGTAAATGATCAGGACCTCGGTGCTGTGGTGCACATCCCGAGGATGAGATGTTCTGGCACATCTTCAGACCCAGCCCATCTTGTTGTGCCTGTTGAGTTAGCAGGCCCCGAGTCCCCCAGCACGGGCAGATAGTGGTTTGTGAGTGAGGTTTCATCTCATTTTCTTATCCTCCACCTTTGGCAAATGGATTCGGACCAGCAGCCAGTGGCCGATTAATTCCGATGTTCCCTTGGGAAAAGCTGTCTAATCCAGGTTTTGATCACACAGCTGCGCACATCGCATCAAACATGCAGATGGTTTGGAAGGGAATAGCCGACCCACAGAACCCACATCAGAAAAACTCCACTCTCAATCTTTGTCTACGTTCAAAAGGTCCAGATCAGACAACGTCACACCGTTTAGCCTCTCAAAAACTGCACTTCTTGCAAGCAAATGTTCATAAGGGTAGGTCCATTCAAGAGCCTCCAAGCCATCATGTGAAGCGCAGCTGTTTAATATTAACTTCCGACAATAAAGACTGATGGAATAAGATGGAAAAGGAGAGGTGGGAAGAGTCAGAGAAGAGAAAGGGGTGTAGAATAGTTTTTGGATTTTTTTGGCCTCAGGTTTTGGATTTTTTTTTGCTTTCTTTCCCGGCACCATTTGCCTTGTATTTGCAACAGTTTGGAACTAGAACCTGTCGTTTTGCACAGTATTTGCTACATTTTGGCATGGTCACTTTGCATTTTGCATGGTATTTGCTACATTTGGCCATGTTTGCCTTCCATTTTGAATGGTATTTGTCACATCTTGGCATTTCAGCCTCTCATTTCCATTATATTTTCTTCATTTTGGTGCTTCAAACGTTCATGTGGGTCTCTTGAGGGTTCTTTAGGCTTTCATTTAGGGTTTCATTTACTGTTTCATTTTGGGTTTCATTTATAGGGTTTCATTAAGGGTTTCATTTTTAGAGTTTCATTTAAGGTTTTTTCCGGTTTCATGTAGGGTCTCTTATCAGGAATTCCTATCAGGAGTTCCAAACGTTCAAATGGGTTTCTTTAGTGTTTCTTTAGGGTTTCATTTAGGGTTTCTTTAGGGTTTCTTTAGGGTTTCGTTTAAGGTTTCATTTAGGGTTTACTTAGGGTTTCAATTTTGGTTTCATTTAGGGTCTCATTAAAGGTTTCTTCAGCGTTTCATTTAGAGTTTCTTTAGGGCTTCTCTAGGGTTTCATTTAGGGTTTCATTGAGGGTTTCTTTGGGGTTTCATTTAGGGTTTTAGCGTTTCTTTAGGGTTTCATTTAAGCTTTCTTTAGGGTTTCATTCCAGGGTTTCTTATCAGGATTTCTTTTCACGGTTCAAGTGGGTTCCTTTAGGGTTTCATTTAGGGTGTCGTTTAGGGTTTCTTTAGGGTTTCGTTACGGGTTTCATTTAAGGTTTCTTTAGGGCTTCAGTTTGGGTTTCATTTAGGGTGTCATTTAAAGTTTCTGTAGGGTTTCATGTCGAGTTTGTTTAGAGTTTAAAGTTTAGGGTTTCAATTTAGGGTTTCATTCAGGAGTTCATTTAAGCTTTCTTTAGGGTTTCATTCCAGGGTTTCTTATCAGGGTTTTTTCACGATTTCTAAAACGTTCAAGTGGGTTTCTTTAGGGTTCCTTTAGGGTTTCATTTAGGGTGTCATTTAGGGTTTCTTTAGGGTTTCATTTAGGGTTTCTTTAGGGTTTCATGTCGGGTTTCAATTTAAGCTTTCATTTAGGGTTTCTTAGGGTGACAATTTAGGGTGTCATTTAAAGTTTCTTTAGGGTTTCATGTATGGTTTCTTTAGGATTAATTTATAGTTTCTTCAGGGTTCATTTATGGTTTCTTTAGGATTAATTTATGGTTTCTTCAGGGTTCATTTGTGGTTTCTTTAGGGTTCATTTAGGTTTTCATGTAGGGTTTCTTATCAGGATTTCTTTAGGGTTTCTTTGGGTTTCACCTAGATACAAACAGAACAGAATAAAGCACAAGAAATTGAAAACAAAGAGACAGTAAAGACAGGAAGCAAGGAAGCAAAGGAGCTGGAAGTAGAGCAGCAAAAACACATGACTGAAGAAAAGAAAAAGTAGAATAGTAGAGGTAGAAAGGCACAGAAGTACAAAAGCAGAGAAGCAGGGAAAACAGAGAAGCAGAAAAGCAGAGAAGCAGGAAAAGCAAAAAGCAGAAAAGCAGAGAAGCAGGAAAAGCAGAGAAGCAGGGAAAGCAAAAGCAGAGAAGCAGAAAAGCAGAGAAGCAGGTAAAGCAGAGAAGCAGAAAAGCAGGAAAAGCAGAGAAGCAGAAAAGCAGAGAAGCAAAAAAGCAGAAAATCAGAGAAACAGGAAAGCATAGAACCAGGAACCCAAAAAAAAATCCAAAACCTGCCGCGAAAACAAAACCAGAAATTTATAGCTCTCCAAGAGAAAGAGTCAGCAGAAAGAAGATCAGAGAAGAGAGAGCCAGAAAGAAAGAAGATGCAGGCGCGCGAAAAGGTAGAAAAGTCGCGAAACACTCTGTTTTTTCCAATGATTTGTGGTCCGGAGGGTCGAAAAGTAGGCTCGCTAAAGCGGCGGGTGCGGAGCCATCTGGCCACATGAGAGATGAAAATTTGCACGCTGTTGTGGCGCAAAGCACGTTTCCAAGTCAGAATGCTAAGAACACCTCAACGCCAGAGCACTTTTGGAAGTTGAGATGTTCAAAAAGTGCACGCCACTGTGCCTGTCGAAGTCAGAATGTACAAAACACACCCACACCGGAGCATTTTTTGGCAGTTGAGATGTTCACAAAAGTGCGCGCCACTGTGGCACGAAGCACTTGCCGAAGTCAAAATGTACAAAGCACACCAACGAAGGAGCACTTTTGGAAGTTGAGATGTTCAAAACGTGCGCGCCACTGTGGCGCGAAGCACATGTCGCCGTTGTGGCGCGAAGCACATTTCGAAGTCAAAATGCTAAAAGCTACATGTTTGGACCACTTTTGGACGTTCAACCATACCACACTACACAACAATCACAACGACAACAACGACGACGACCACCACCACCACCACCACCACGACAACGACGAGGTCGAGGACGAGGACGACGACAACGACGACAACGACGACGACGACAACGACGACGACGACGACGACCACAACAACAACAACAACAACAACAACAACAACAACCACGACGACGACGACAACAACAACAACAACTACTACTACTACGACTACTACTCCTGCTGCTGCAGCTACTGCTACTACTACTACTACTACTACTACTCCTACAACTACTACCACTACTACTACCACTACTACTACTACTACTACTACTACTACTACTACTACTACTACTTACTACTACTACTTACTACTACCACTTACTACTACCACTTACTACTACCTACTACCTACTACCTACTACCTACTACCTACTACCTACTACCTACTACCTACTACCTACTACCTACTACCTACTACCTACTACCTACTACCTACTACCTACTACCTACTACCTACTACCTACTACCTACTACCTATTACCTACTACCTACTACCTACTACCTACTACCTACTACCTACTACCTACTACCTACGACCTACCTACTACCTACTACCTACTACCTACGACCTACTACCTACTACCTACTACCTACTACCTACTACCTACTACCTACTACCTACTACCTACTACCTACTACCTACTACCTACTACCTACTACCTACTACCTACTACCTACCTACTTCCTACTTCCTACTACCTACTACCTACTACCTACTACCTACTACCTACTACCTACTACCTACTTCCTACTTCCTACTTCCTACTTCCTACTTCCTACTTCCTACTTCCTACTTCCTACTTCCTACTTCCTACTTCCTACTTCCTACTTCCTACTTCCTACTTCCTCCTTCCTACTTCCTACTTCCTACTTCCTACTTCCTACTTCCTACTTCCTACTTCCTACTTCCTACTTCCTACTTCCTACTTCCTACTTCCTACTTCCTACTTCCTACTTCCTACTTCCTACTTCCTACTTCCTACTTCCTACTTCCTACTTCCTACTTGCTACTTGCTACTTGCTACTTCCTACTTGCTACTTCCTACTTGCTACTTGCTACTTCCTACTTCCTACTTCCTACTTGCTACTTGCTACTTGCTACTTGCTACTTGCTACTTGCTACTTGCTACTTGCTACTTGCTACTTGCTACTTGTGCTACTTGCTACTTGTGCTACTTGCTACTTGTGCTACTTGCTACTTGTGCTACTTGCTACTTGTGCTACTTGCTACTTGTGCTACTTGCTACTTGAGCTACTTGCTACTTGAGCTACTTGCTACTTGAGCTACTTGCTACTTGAGCTACTTGCTACTTGAGCTACTTGCTACTTGAGCTACTTGCTACTTGAGCTACTTGCTACTTGAGCTACTTGCTACTTGAGCTACTTGCTACTTGAGCTACTTACTACTTGAGCTACTTACTACTTGAGCTACTTGCTACTTGAGCTACTTGCTACTTGAGCTACTTACTACTTGAGCTACTTACTACTTGAGCTACTTACTACTTGAGCTACTTACTACTTGAGCTACTTACTACTTGAGCTACTTACTACTTGAGCTACTTACTACTTGAGCTACTTACTACTTGACTACTTACTACTTACTACTTACTACTTACTACTTACTACTTACTACTTACTACTTACTAC